ACAGCTGACACTCACTCTCAGCCTTAGCTTAGTAAATTGGAAACATCTATCTACTAATCCATATTGAATCAGCATGGCAGATTTTAGTCCCTAATTTTCAATAAAGAGGCTGGTGGATTGATTCATGTATCTGTCTTTGTAGCTGCACTACAAGATTGACACAAAAAAGACCCATTTTATAAATGTAATTAAAAGGTCCATGCGGTGGTAGGATTCAAAAAAATTTACTACCAGTTCTGTGGACATGGCTTGGTGGGCATGGCAGGGGAAGGATACTGTAGTCTCCAGTCAGAGGTGGTATTTGCCGATTCTCTGAACTACTCAAAATTTCCGCTACCGGTTCTCCAGAACTGGTGAGAACCTGCTGAATACTACCTCTGGGTCCATGTTTTAATGTTTTGTTTTCATCTTTGAACTAAACAGTTGCCAAAATACAGAAAAATATAAGATGTCTAGATTAGAAGAAACTGGATTAAGGTATATGTTATTTTTACTTTTTATAATAGTTTAAAGCTTTAGTCCTTTGCCTCCAAACTTAATTTTAAGTAGATGTTCATAGAATTGCATAGTTTATAAACCAATCTGATTGCACCAGGTCTTTAACTTACATAGGCTAAACAATTGTCAACCAATGAATTATATTATATAGTCCTGTATCTTGTACTTATTAGGAACTTATTGCTGCATTTTTCACAATTTTGGATAGTTTTTAAGGACAGCTCCATTTATAACATCTTTGGTAAAGTGATCAAACCGGTCAGTTCTCGAGGAAATCAACCCTGACTGCTCTTTAGAAGGCCAGATCCTGAAGATGAAACTCAAATACTTTGGTCACCTAATGAGAAGGAAGGACTCACTGGAGAAGAGTCTAACGCTGGTAAAGATTGAGGGCAATAGAAGAAGAGGACAACAGCAAATGAGGTGACTGGATGGAGTCACTGAAGCAGTAGGCGTGAGCTTAAATGGACTCCGGAGGATGGTAGAGGAGAGGAAGGCCTGGAGGAATGTTGTCCATGGGATTGCGGTGGGTCGGATAAGACTTTGCAATTAACAACACCAAATAACCATCTCTAAGTTGTTAAAGATTATATATGGTACCAGTTTAAAAAACCCACTAATTCAAAATATACCTCCCAACTAAATAGGTATATTGATATGATTTCAAAGTAATTGCATATTTAAGCTCAATTATACAGTGTTTCTGTAAGAACATAATGGATACAGAATGAGAAAAATTCAGCAAGAGTATATTTTATATGGATGAATTTTGCTAAAGTAAGAAGTGTGAGCAGGATTAATGAGAAATAAATGCGATTAGAATATGACAAACTTATTAAGCCAGTGCTGCCAATTCTATTCTGAAAGAAGAAAGAATATGATAAAACAAATTCAGTCTGTCTAGTCTTGTTTTCTTTAAACATTCTCCAGATATTTCAGCTACAAAGCTCAACATTTATGGGTCAAAATGATATCTTATAGTCCAAGACTTCTGCAAGGTACTACAATGGGATAGGCTAAAGTTTTTTTCATGTTCCCAATTCCACAATTTACAATAATGAGAAATAAAGCTGCTTCTTTGTAGTCTCCACATCACATATATGAGCTGGTACATCTGTTTAAAGTCTAAATGGAGAATTATTGATAAAATGTAATTACTGATAAAATGTAATGTTGCCTCAAGGAGTAAGAATAATATTGAAGAAGCTAAAAGCTAAGTAGGATCTGATTGATTAGTACTTGAATGACTGACAGACAGACTGATCTGGATGATAGACCACCAGGAAATAATCAGAGCTGTAAGGTAAAATGGGAAGTAAAAAATAAAAATATAGGAACTGTTGTTGCCAAGAAAAATACATGAGAAGCTAGCAAGCTTGATTCAAATAAGATTTTATCATATTATAAATTTTGAAAGACATAAAGGCATGACTACGATATTTGTATTTAGTGTTGTGGCTAATACACAACTAAGTCCCTGCAATTTATTTTAATAGGAGCAACTAAGGATGTTCTTTGACTTCTTGTTTAGGTTCATTTAAATTCTTTCCCCTTCCAGTCTAGAAAGTCTCTTTCCCTCTTTCATTCTAATTGTGTATTTGATTAGTTAATCCATATTATTCTTATAGTAAGATCAGCGTGCTGGCATAGTGGTGACAACATTCACTTGCTGCTCGGAAGGTTGAGAGTTCAATCCTACAGTAGATAGTGGGAAATGTTTCTGTTCTAGGGCACAAAGAAACAATATCTTCTACGAACTCCATGTAGGCGTCAGGAAGGGTATCTGGCCAGTAAATGCTTAGCTCCATCCAGTCGCCCTGACTACTAGAATAGGATCTACAGGGTCATAAAAACGGAGCTTTTTTTTTTTTTGAAACAAATTTTATTAATTTTGAAGACAAACAAAGCATCATTAGACATTAAAGACATTAAACCTCTTTCCATTATAAATTTTTACAAGGCATATAAAACATTGTTTTATACAATATAATTCTAATATATCCCATTTCCACTTAAATATTTTTAGCAGATTTCTTATTATTTCTCTTTGCTCTTATTCAATTACATTTCTTCTATATTTATCCATTTTATACTCATCATATTCATATTTCCCTCTGCCTTGTTTACAAATATTCTTCTCGCTTTCTCCCAAGGTTTTATTAAATCTCAATCAAACATACACACACAAAACACAAAAACATAAAACTTCTTTTTAAAAAGTAGCTTGGCCCCGGATTACCTCTCTTTGTATGGACTTCAATTAAATTCATGTTCAACTTATATGCCATTACCTATCTTATTACCCTTCTATATCTTCATTATAACTTCTCCCCGCTTTCCAAATCATTATATTTGTATCTTTTGTCCATTCTTTTCCAATTATCCATTTATCTCATTCATATTAGAAAAAAAAAAGATTTCTCCTGAAATCACTAATCGAAGTATGATGCCTTTCCATCGCTCCCCTAAATTTACATTTAAGGTAACACCTAGTTCCCTATCTAATTCTGCTTAGTACATTCTGCTTACTAAAATAGTAAATCCATAAAGTAATTAAATATATAATTAAACATTAAATCTCATAGCATTCCAATTATCTATTTCAAAAACAAATACCATAATAATAAATTCATACAAACATCCACACAATAGTCAATTAAACTCTATACTTAAACTAAATATTTTAAACATTCCTTTTAATATTTTATTAAATCTTAAAATCTATCATTATTAAACCTTTAATGTTTTAATCTTTGCTTAAGTCTTATAAAATTCTAATTTTCTATTTCTAATACAAATACTACAATACTATCATGTACCTTGCAGAAACATTTTGGAACAAAGTTATGCATTACCCATTATCCCTAAAAAAAATTTCCACATCTTGTTTCATACCTTTGTGGCTTTTTCCCCCCTTCTTCCTTCCTATCTTATCCCATCTGGTCTTTTTACCCCCCTTAACTTCCCCTCTCTGTTGTATTTCTCTTTTCTTTTGCTTTCTAACATTGTATTGATTTTGCATCTTATTTTTCTCTTTCTTGGATGTTTTTTTAAGTCTTATGTCCTTTTTAATCAACTTTGTAGACTCGTTAAAGATGGCTTCTTCTTCTTCTTCTTCTTCTTCTTCTTCTTCTTCTTCTTCTTCTTCTTCTTCTTCTTCTTCTTCCTCCTCCTCCTCCTCCTCCTCCTCCTCCTCCTCCTCCTCCTCCTCCATTAATTGTTGTGTTTGTTGATAAGTGGCAAGCACCATTTCTAAAAAGCAAAAAATTTCTCTCACACCGTCTTTACCTTCTTTTTTTATTTTACCATATTCCTCTCTCAGTTCATCAACAGATAAAGCCATTATAAACTTTTTCTTCTTATTTTTTCTCTTCCTCTTCTTCTTAAAACAACCAAGGTAATTCAAAGCTTGAAACAATTCCCCAAAATCCCAAAGTCATCAAACAATCCAAACAGAGCACAAAGTTCTTCACACTTTTTCTTCCTGGGGTAATATCAATTGGCAAGGGAAAAAAAAACCCAATCTGTATTTTAAAGTCTTATTGCAATTAACTTCCAATCTCAAAATCTTCCAGGCATCTCCTCCAACAAAATCTTAATAAAAATTTTCCTTTTGCCCTCTCCCTTCCCACTTATAACAGAAAGCTTTAAATTTTTGCCTTCTGTAAAATAGCAGGATTTTCAATATCCATTTGTTAAATCCATATGGAAGGAGAGTAAACTTTCTCTTTAAGCACTTTCACTCGCCGCTTGTAAATCTCTTCTGGAAACAAAGTATCTTTCAAAAAATCAGGATATTACTTGTATCTTATAGTCCCAGTTCAGCCAAAAAACTTTCGCTTCAGAACTTTCTCCTTCTTCCTCCAGCACAATCTTATCCAGCTGTCAGCTTCTTTGTGGCGGCCATTGCTGACCGCCACTCCACCGCCTTGAGAAAAGAGGGTTAAGCCGGGTGGGGAAGCGGTCTGCGAAAACCCCAACCCCCTGTCCGGATCCCTCCTATCTTCGGCTGCCTCTATGGGGCAACCTTAGCCTCCAAACCCGTCCGGATCAGAGGCACCAAGACGGCTAGTGCAACAGGGATCGCGCAGGATCGCGAATCCCTGCCACTGCCGAAGCCGACAAACCGGAAGTCGGAGCTTTTTCTTGTAGTAATCCTTTGGGATTGATTTCGGTATGATTACCTTAGAATTTTCTAATAAAAACCAAAGTTCAACAGCACAGGCCTTATCTCCCTGAAGTCCCTGAAGCCTTATCTGACCATTCCCAACACAATGCAGTGTCTGGCAATATGTTTGTAAATAGGCATTGTAACAATAAAGAAGCGTAGACCTGGTTTCTTAGGCTTGACACAGTGTCAGTAAAAGTAGTTTTAGTTTCTCTATGGAGATGATTTCCTAGTTATGCTGTTCTATCTAATAGTGCTGATACTAGGAAGGAAGCAGTGATTTGGACGTTGTTCGCTGTAAAACTTGTTTTAATCTGAGCTTCCTTTTTACTGCTGTTATTAAAGGCAGACTTACTTCCAGAATATGCAAAAGATTTCCACTGACTTTCTTTTGTCATATCTCATATCTCTGACTGTTCTTTGTTTTTATTCTAGAGCTAATAATATTGCACTGGAATATTTTTGGTCTCCACTATCTAAAACAGGGGCAGGTTAACCTTATTTCAACTTTGCATTTCTACGTCAAGGATAATCAGTGTGTTTTCCTTTTATGGCCTAATTATATTTATCTTTTTGTTTTTATTTCCAGGCCTACTGGAGAGTTATGTCATTCTGATCTTCATAGAAGAAAACATATTCTATTTCAGTTTGAAGGAGGATTTCAGTAATAATGTATTCAGTTCCCCGCTCCCTATCTGGAATGGAAGGAGATAATGGACATCCTAGAAAATTTATCTCTTTCCTTTTTGTTTTTGGCATTACATTGTTATGTGCTGGGTTTTTGCTATCAATGTTTGTTTTGCAGACATGTCCAAGTGGAGCCTTTGGTGACTGTAAGGGAGCTTTCAAAATTATTGGGCCTCTGCTTGCAGTTGTTGGACTAGTTTGTATAATTTTGGCACAATCCAGAGCCAAAGATTATCTCAGAGATGTGCAATTGCAAGATGATCAGGTATATGGATTTGTTTTTTGTCGAGGAAATTGTCAGTTTGCTCAGTTCCTCGTCTTTGGGTTTTTATTTTTAACAAGTGGGATGCTTATTAGTGTCCTTGGCATATGGATTCCAGGATGCAGTCCAGGATGGCGTTATCAGCAGTTTAACCATAGCAATACATCTGGCATTGAACTCCAGGACTGTGGATTTCATTCTGTTCAAACTATGGGCCCTTTAATTGTGCTTATTGGATTATGTTTCTTTGTGATAGCTCACATTAAAAAGAAACAAAACTTAAACCTCATCCAAGAATCTTCAGTCAGTGAAGAACAACTGAACTCTGAATCATTTCAAGTTACAGTCGGTAAGTAAATAAACCAGTGAGATATTTTTATCAGTTATTAGAAGGCAACCCTTGATATCATGCCCCTTCCTTCCTTCTAATATATTTTATTAGTCACTTTAGAGAAAGCATATAAACAGGGAAGAAAAAAGAAGAAAAGAAAGGGATAAAAGAGTGGGATACAAAAAGTAAACAAAGGATTCACAAATGTCGGAGAGATGTATCATTTCCAGGATATTAATTGAGTTTGAGTAAATGAATATATTGGTTATAAGTTTGAAAATTTCCATTAAACTCTAAGCTAGGCAAAGCATAAATGTCAGGAATCAGAATCTATAAATCATAAAAAAATAAAATTGTGAACTATAATAAATTTTGGCCATTTTATCTTGGAAATCCCATAATGTTAAAATAAAATAAAATAATATTTCCCTCTTTATGAAGAGAAATAGAAAAGGGGGTGAAAGAATGCAGATTTTTTTAGATACAATACCGATAAAGATACCATCTGTTTCTTGAGATCAATAATAAAAATTAATTGAATATTTTGCTAAAAATATGATTAATTAACTAAAATGCCATTAACTGGATGACAGATAGCTAGAGTGCTTTACAGTGAAAATCTTATAAGTTTAAACCTGTTAGACAATAATACCGTGTTTCTCCAACAATATGGCCTCCACCAATAGGAAGGCCCAGCATGTTTTATCGGCATAAAATCAAATTAAGCCCCTCCCCCCAAATTAAGGCCTATATTAAACATGCGAAATGGGGGGGAATGGCAGGGGGGGGCTTGCCGTTAGGAAGTACTTTTGTTGCATACCCGGATATGGTGCTGCCTGCGTTGACTTTGGCGTTGGTGGGGCACTTCATATCAGGAGACCTTCCTCCACCGTTGCTTTCCCTTCTCCCTTGCTGCCACGGCATTTAGAGCAATGCTGCGGCATTTGGCACAACCATGCGCAGCCAGCCAGGGCTCCTCCCTGCAACCGGAGCCCGGCGGAGACACTCGGCTTCAGGCGCTCCTGTTGCCACCTTCCCTTCGCCTTCAAAGGCAAAGCCAATTCTTTTAAAAACGACACCCTACTACCAGTACAACAAAGCCTCCCCTGCCCGAGAGGGCAGCCCAACCCCACGTGGGGAGGCGGAACTCCCAGGGCCGCAGCACAGGATCGGCCCACCCCGGGAGAAGCACCCAGCCGCCATCCCTGCCTGGCGCCAGGCAGAGCGCAAAGAGCTTCGGCTGGGGCGCCCAGCACAGCTGACAGGCAGCAGAGCTCTCACCAAGGCAGCGAGCACCTCCCCGCTGGACCCTCTGCTCATCCCGTCAGGGCCGTGCCAGAGCCGTGTGGACTGGGCAGAGCCGGGAAAGCAAGCCGCAAGTGCACACCTGCCTGCCAAGCGAAAGAGCCGGGCCGCCCCAAGCTTGGCTTCCTTCCCAAGTCCCTCCAGCCCGAACCTGAAGGGGCCACCGGGAGAGGCTGCCCGAGGCAGTGATAGCGCCCACCCATCTGTGGACAGGGAGGCAAGGCGATAGCCTGTGCCGCGTCCTCCTCCGAGCTGAGCCCCACCGAGTCAGCGCCTCTGCCTGATGCCCGTTCCGCTGCAGCGTTTGGAGCTGCCGGCGCAATTGGAGATGCATGGGGACGGGGACGGGCTGGGTGAGGGGTGGAAAGGACGGGCGGCTTCGGGCTCTTTCCGCCGGCCAGGGAAGCAGCACTGCCATCACCTCGTCTCCCTGTCAGCGGACGGGTGGGCGCTATCACTGCCTCAGGCAGCCTCTCCTGGTGGCCCCTTCGGGTTTGCGCTGGAGGGACTTGGGAAGGAAGCCAAGCTCAGGTCGGCCCGGCTCTTTTGTTTGGCAGGTGGGCGCGTACCCGCGGCTCACTTTCCTGGCTCTGCCCAGCCCGCATGGCTCTGGCGCGGCCCTGGCGGGATGAGTGGAGGGTCCAGCGGGGATGCACTCGCTGCCTTGGTGAGAGCTCTGCTGCCGTGAAGGAGGGCCCGCCTGTCAGCTGCGCTGGGCGCCCCAGGAGAAGCTCTTGGCACTCTGCCCGGCGCCAGGCAGGGATCGTGGCTGGGCGCTTCTCCCAAGGTGGGCCGATCCTCCGCTGCGGCCCCGGGAGATTCGCCTCCCCACGTGGGGTTGGGCTGCCCTCTCGGGCAGGGGAGTCTTTGTTGTAGTAGGGCGTCATTTTTAAAAGAATTGGCTTTGCCTTTGAAGGCGAAGGGAAGGCGGCGACAGGAGTGCCTGAAGCCGAGTGTCTCCGCCGGGCTCCGGTTGCAGGGAGGAGCCCTGGCTGGCCACGCGTGGCTGCGCCAAACGCCACGGCGTTGCTCTAAACACCACGGCAGCAAGGGAGAAGGGAAAGCAACGGTGGCGTAAGGTCTCCTGATATGAAGTGCCCCACCAACGCCAAGGTCAACATCCAAGCTGTCACTGCCCGCCCACCCGAGGATGCAAGGGGGGGAAATTAAGTCACCCCCGAAAAGATGGCCTAGCCGTTTTTTCGGGGGTCAAAAAAAAAAAAAAGGCCTGGCCTTATTTTGTGAGAAACACGGTAGTTAAAATAGTTAACATGTTTGTTATGATTTTTTTAAAAGTATTTATAAAAACAGTGTACTGAAATTGTGTTTTAAGAAATGTTGGGAAAATTTATCATTTCTATATTCAATTATTTTGTCAAACATCCTCATATCAATTCTATGAGTTACGGTATTTCCATGTATTAGGCACTATCATTTGTGATCCATTATAGTAAGATTACCGATGATAAATCATGTGTATTACCAGTATAGTATACTTTTTTTAAAAAAGAATGTAGGCACACTTCAAAAACAGGAGCCTACTAAGTCTTTCGTGAGTTGCTTTATATTTCTGCTGGGTATGGTTTTAGAAGTTGTATACGTAGTTAATGTAAGTCTACTTTCTTTGTAGCATGATTAAGGTTCTATCTATAGCCTCATTTGTACAGTTAAAAAGCTGTATAAAACCCAGGTGAGTCTGCATTTTAAATAAAGACATAATTTGGTCTTATAGACATAAATAAACAGAATATTCTTGTAATATGTCTTGGGGATAGAACATTTTTATGATTGTATTTCAATTATATTCAATACAGGTAATCCTTAATTTACAACTATTCATTTAGTGACCGTTCAAAGTTAGAATAGCACTGAAAAAAGTGAGTTATGACTGGGTTAACTGCAACTCACTTAACTGCTTTTGTTAGCAATGGAAATTTTGGGTTCAGTTGTGGCGATAAATCAAGGAATACCTGTACATTATAAAACATACTTGAAAAAATTAATTGAAAAAACAGAAAATAGTCTAAAGTAAACATTCCAGCTTATGGTGAATTTCTAGTGCAATATTTTTTGGAAGCATGGCTCTCTTTATTTACTACTCCAAAGAAATCTGCAGAAGATTTTGGCTTTAAAACATTCCCTTTCTTTTTCAGGTGATACTGTGATGGTTTTTCCTCCTCCACCACCACCTTATTTTTCTGATTGTTCACCACAGACCATAACTCCTAGCCTGGTAGCAAACGAACTTATTTTAAATGAAAATCCTCCACCATATCACAGTATTTTTATTAATTGGTAAGGGTATTTCTGCTTTTAATTTTAGATACTGAAATATTTTTAAAAATAAGTAACAAATGAGGCATGACTTGGAAGATTCCTAATTAGGACTTGCCACTTGTTTTCCCCTAACAATTAAAAGAAGCCATTGTGAGGTTTGGAATTAGGTTGGTGTGAACAGTAACTATTAATTTGTATTTTTATTTCTAAATCGGCTATTAATCATGTAACAATAGAAAGATAATCCCACTTTAGCACAGAATAGCTACCTTCCTTTACTATTACAACCTTGATTCTTTATTAATTCTTTGTTAAGTGCACCTGCTTTCAAGTTTTTAAAATAATTGAAGTATCTATTAATGGATCTCTCACATCATGTCTGGTTTGGTCTTAATATTATAAGGTTAGATATAGGCAAAACTAAATAAGCACCTGCATACAAAACCATTGTGATCTTCTTGAAAAAGTGTGAGTATAAGTGAAGCTTACTTGAAAAAAAGACATTTAATTAATTATAATTAATTATAGATGATGATTTACATAGATATATGTATCAGGTATAAAATTATATTTACTTTTGCATACTAGAAAAAGGGAATGTTAAAATGACAATATCTGTTCCAGATGTAATTGTACCATAGAGTGCATATAATCATAGAGTTGGAAGGTGCCATTTAGACCAGAGGTCCCCAACCCCAGGCTGTGGAGCAGCACTGGGATGCAGCATGCCAGAAACCAGGCAGCACAAACATGCAAAGCCCTATCCATGGGATGCAGGCAGCACACGAAACCACGCCCCCTCCAGTCTGCAAAAAAAAAATCTCTCTCCATGGAACCAGTCCCTGGTGCCCAGAAGGTTGAGAGCCACTGATTTAAACCATCAAGTCCAACCGCCTACATTGTATAGGAATCCAAATTATAAGATCCTAGGTAGATGCTTGTCAGTAATTGCTTGAATAGTTCATAGTATTTTCACTAATTTCTCATACATTTCTCACTGCTCTTAATAAGTATATAATGTTGATACTATTGTTATACTGTTTGTATTATTATAAAGTTTTATTCTTGTTAGTATTATTGTCATCAGCATTAGCCATCTTGGGTGAAATATGTAACATGTCTATGTCTAACATTTTTGTTTTTGTTTTTGCAGATTATGAATAACAGGCCTACAGAGAAAATGAGTTCCACAGTATCAGGAAACAGTTTGCCTTCTAAAACTTAATCAGTTCATTGTTATTCCTCTGAGTCATCTCAGAATTACAAGGCAAAAAGCAGCTGTAAATAATGAATGTGTCTTGTCTTCCTCTCCCTTCTATACTCAGCTGATCCATTACCATCTGCTTATCACCAACTATAAGAAATATTCAGAGCTGAAGCAGAAAGACAAGGGAAGGAACAGGTATAAACAAAGGCAAGAACAGAAAGAACCGCAGGAATTCCAGATAAAAAATAAGATGAAAGGAGAATGAAAATGCTACACCTGCATTTCCCCAACCCATTAAAGAGGGCAGTAGGTTGTACATTAGGAATGTCCAACCTTTTTCAAATCAAAGGCTTCCTCCAGACATACAGAATATTTTGGGGGGTTTACAAAGAAAGTGGCCAGAACAAGGGTGGGGGAAATGGGTTTGTCCAGAAACAAGTGGCTACATTTATTTCCTACAAAACAAAGGAAATGTTAGTGATTGTTAGTGTGAAATAGATTGTTCCCTTACCTGTAATATACTTTGCAATCCAGGCCACTTCTCAAACAAATGTATATCTGTTAACTTGCACATCCATTTTTCCTATTGTTCTATGGCAGAGATAGTAGCAATAGCAGCAGCTCAATTTCATGAAGGCTGCTTGAAATCCAGAGGATATGCTGAAAGATACTTTGACATCTTCAGTATAAAGAAAAGGAATCAGGAAGTTGGCTGAACACCCTGCTGAAGTAGGAAGCCAGAATGAGTTTTTAAAAAATGGACAACAGGGTAGTTTTACAGGCTTTTATTTGCTGGTGTTAGAATCTAGCAGTTTATCGGTGTTAGAAAGGTCAGGGAAATATAAAGTGATGCAGATATTTTGGAAGCTTCATTTGCTGAGTGAGCAAGAAAGGACTTGCTGAGGGGGCAAACAAGTGAGTTGGAAGCTTTGCTGTCATAAAAGTCACCTGACTACTCACTAAGCAGCCAAGTAAAGGGAAAGATACATTCCTCTATGGAAGCTAAGGAAGAAGAGGAGTGTGGTGGTAGCAGCAGTGGGAAGATGTGCACTGTGATGCTTCTTGAAGAGATTGGTATTTCAAAAGTTTGGCAGTCATAGAATATTAGGAAATGAGTAAGGGAACAGGTACATATTGTGACTTCTTGGTTCACTCTGCTATGCTTCAAAGGTTCAGCCCTCTGCAAGGAGAGGGCACAGAAAAAGTATGAACCCCTGCTAGTGCCACTGTCCACATTCAACAACAACCTTGGTGGCTCTGAGAGCCCTGGAGTGGATGGCACACTCTTCATGAGCCACAGGCCACACACTTTCATTTCAGAGACCAAACTATAGGGGAAGCTGCAGCAGAAGCCAGGGCAGAATGCCTGTAAATTCCTATTTCTAAAGAATTGTTCAAGATGGGAACCATCATAAACACCCCTACATGAGATTTAAATACCCAGAGCAAATCAACTACTATTTTGACAATTGTTAGGATCAACTTAACTTAATCAACTAGGAAAAAAAATCTGAATATTTTGTCTTTTTCTTCTTTTTTTCCCTGCTGTAAAGGCCCAGCAGACGTGAGATACTGAAGGTATCTGTGTGACAATTTATTAAATATCATGATACATAGTATCTTAAATATTTGGTGCCTCAAATGACACATTTCATCTTGCAGAATTAAGGGCCTCTGTGTAGTCATGAGGAATAATTATGAAAGAAACCATAATGTGGAGATTAAAGAGTTGGACCAGGAGTGGGAAGATCCAAATTCAAGTCCATTCTGTTCATCCATGAAAGTTTTCTTTATTTAATTGAATTACTGACTGCCTCAGTTAGCAAATCAATTCTAGGCAGCGTACAATGATACAAATTGTTAAAAAGAAATCTAACAATAAAAAAGATAAATCACATCAGGAAACCAACAATGTACAAACATACAGTGCAGTCCCAGAGTCTGCTGAAAGACACAGGACCTCCTCAAGGTCCTTATAATGCAGGGGTGTCAAACTCATGGTGTCATCACGTGATGTATCACAACCCCCCCCCCCCCACTTCACTAAACCAGGTGTGGGCATGATCTGGCCTATGGGCCGTGAATTTGACAAGCTTGCTATAATACAATATGCAGATTTAAGCAGCTATTCTAAAAGGTAAGAACAACTCTAGGATGCCATAAGATGATACAGCTTTGCCAAAGGGACCTGGAGCATTGCCAATCCTGCCAGATCTTACTGGACAAGCAAAAATGGGGGGGGGGAGTGGTACCTCCCAGGCCTCAAGCCATAAAGGTGACAACTACCATCTTGAATTATATGTGGAAGCTAACTAGTAAAATGTATCTGGAGGGCAGTTTGGGCCATTTACTCATTTCAAGCTCAATGCTATGTATCTATGATGGAGAAAAATAGGTATTGTACTATGCTTAGATATCAGTGCATACCAAATAAAAGCAGTATTATTGAATATATGTGACTCCCCTTTTCTTTTGGACAACAGTTGATAAGCATAAAATGAAGACAGTACAACATTGAGTGTTGTCTTAATATACATTTGATGCCAACCATTTATCCTGTACTGGTTAGACTCTAAAGGTAATCTCACAAAAATTCCTAATAGAATTAAATGTTACTAGATAAGACACACATTTATATAATTACTATCATTTCTGAGAAGTTCAAGCTCCTGTTTTTCTTTTAACTTCCTGCCTGCATATGGATTGTGTTTAGCATAAATCCAGTGAATGCTTCTCATCTACTTAAAGCATTTCTCTAAGAGGACTCTGTCAGGTCTGTATTCCCAAGGAATTGGCTGAGTTCAGCTGATGAACAAGTTTATTTCTTGCTTCATTGCACTGTAATGCATTATAAAAAAGGATGGAAAGAAAAACAGCATATACAGAGGGGGTGAAAACAAAATGCCAGTTGTCCCTTTTGCATGTGTGTCAAAGTGTGTACTATGAAAAGGTACGGCTTTCATTGCAGAATTTTAATACCCCATTCCAACCTATTCTCAAATTTTCTCTGAAGTTTAGGACTAATATGTCTTGGTTGCAAACTCTAATCAAAGAATAGATAAAGCGACCACTATAATTAGCTTTCTGTGTCTAGTGGTCATCTGGATTTTTGCAGATGAGATCTGTTAGCCCTAATAAAATTGACCTTGCAATGAATTCTAGATCATACACTTTAAAAATTATGCATTTTGTTTGCAATTTTCTTCAGTCATCTATAGAACCTATAACCATTAGGAATTAAGCATTAGGAACATTACTTGTTTTCAAAATTGTAAGAACACATGATGTTATCTTTAAAATGTATTTTTAAACAGAAGGGATGTTGATTGACTGTAATAGCCAGGCAGCTTTATGCTATTACATATACTCAGATTTACTAGTTTCCCTTTTGGAAGCAGGCAAATACAGCTTTTAGTGAAAATATGGATTGGTATTAATAATTTATTTCCCTTCATGGAGCAGAGATAAAGGCATTGGCGGCACTGATTAAATGGTTCTTGCAAAAAGTTTTATTTTTGAATTTGAACTGTTTTGAACTTGAAAACATTGGTTTTGCAATGCTTGTGTTATCCAAGTGTTCTCTGTATTCCAAGGTTGAAAACAATCCCAATAAGCCAATTTCAGACTGCTTTGTAGGGTTTGGGGGGGTGGACATAGCATGTTTTTGAAATGTTCTTTGGAAAACAATTATTCCTATTCACTGTTACAGAAAAAGTCCTGAATCTAATGTTTATACATTATTTCTGTGCAGACACTATGTGAACAAAACTTTACTCTTTCTTTGCTCCCCTTCTTGAAACTTCAGAGTCACAATTCTTTTACAAAACGCTTATTACAATCTGCCATAAATACACCTGAGAGCAGATTTAGAAGAACCTCATTTTCCCCTCTAAACGTTTATTTTATTCTACTACATTAATTTAAGTAAAGCTGTTCTTTTAGAGCACCAATAAGAAATTATATGAACTCCTCACATATCAAGCATTCTTCGTGGATAATTTAGACCTGCTTTAACCATGTTTTGATGGTCTTTCAAAAGAGTGGTAGACTTTTTCTTTTTTAAAAAAAAAACAGTCACTACTATCTCCAAAAATAGAATTAACTCTTTTCAGAAAAGGTTGACTTAAACTTGTCCTTTGAATAAATCAGTGTTCCAAAATAGTCCAGCTGACTGACTAGCTGGAAAGTGCTGGGGCAGAGGATGAATCCAGATGAACTCCCTCCTACCCTCCTTCAGATTTATTGATCTGTCTGGTAGGGTATTTTTGAACCAAGATGGACTGACCTGGATGATTGGTGTCTGGTGTTTTTATTTTTTAAGAATCTGGTTAATATGTCAGTGAGGTGGAGGATAGGAATGAAACCGGAAGGTATTTCCCAATGTGTTACGCGAGTTCTCTCTCTCACTTCACCCATCTTCGCACTGAGTTATCTGCTGGACTATTTTTGGACATGGGCATTTTGAACAACTACTTGTCAGCTTACTGTCACTGAACTTTATTTAATTGACAAATTGCATGTTTTTGCTTGAAAGTCAGCAATTTCACTTTTACGTTATTTAATAACTTTCAGGGGAATGCCATAAAGATCCTCTGCTAATTTGTTTTCTTGTTTCCTCAGTATCTTCTAGTTGTTTCAATTCCCACCCTGATAAATCAATACAGGATTAGTTGTGTATACCATAGTGTCTTCTGTAATAAGGACAGCTGCTAAAACAGTTGATAACTTTCTCTGCCTTCTCAATATTCTGATTATCCTTTCTATTCCTTTGTTGTCTAATAGCCAACCATTTCCCCCACTAACATGTTCTCCTTTTTATTTTTTCGCCATACTGTTCCTCCTCATCCTCTTTCTTCCTTCTCTTTCTCTGTTCTTTCTTTCTTGTATTATTATTACTGATCTTTTCTTACATTGTTCAATTATTATTTAAATAACCTCCAGGCACTATGATTTCCCTCTTTATTTTTCTTTTCCATCTCTTTTTTTACAAGCCTCACTTTTTGATAAAGTTTCCCTTTTTGTAGTCAAATGTGGCTTTATAGAACTATGCTGGAAGTTCCCTTTGCAAGATAGCAACATATAGTAGCATTAATAGCAATGTTAGTAGAGTAATAATACAGCTACTTATGTGAAAAGATGCAGAAAGCAGCTTCCCAGGTCCAGGTTTGCAATCATAGAAATATATTCTTTAACAGACAAAGAAGCCTAAATTTAAGTTACAGTACACTGAACCATAGCCACTTTGTGAGTTGTTTAAGTACTGCTTTAATAATTTGTAATGCCTTGAGGTAGACTCTGTAACTGTAACTCTGTAACTTATATTAGTAAATGGTATCTGTTCAAAGTATTTATAGTCCTTAGATAAATAGCTTACTTAGATAATGGCTAAAAATACTGAGTTAAAACAAAATTGAGTTAATGCTTCAGCCTTGCAACTGTGTAACGACTAATTTCACAGGGATTGTGATTATTGTAAATAATAATCAAGACATTTTATACCAACAATTTGTTTATTTTTTTACCTGGCCTCTTCTATGAGGTTGACATCTTTTGCTAAACTTTTTATTTACTCATACAGTATGCTTTTTAGGAATTACCATAAAAGATTTGAGGTTAAGAAATATCTGTTACTTTGATAATCATGACAATATGAAGTTCAGTTCTAATAAATAATTAAAACCACAGACCTAAACACATCCATTAGAAAGTCAGCATCATTGAACAGAACACAATGGAGTAATGCTGAAATTCCTCCTGAAATGAAAGGAATTTAAAGCTGAGTTAGTTTACTGAAAGAAAAATTAACTACAATCTAAGCATTGCTAGGAAGTAGCACTCCATGATAACAAAAGTTAACAGGAAAAGTGGGAGTTTCTAAAAAGGCAAAAAAGCGGGGAGGAAGCTCATAGAAATCACCAACTGACTGTACAAAATGTCTAGTAAAAATCTGAAAACAAAAAAGGACATCAGAAGTGAAAAGAGGGATAGGCTACCTCGAGGAGAAAGATTTTTAGAAATTGTGTCAGAAAAATTAAGGCTCTGGAAGAGCAAGAGGTGGCAAAGTATGATAAACAACAAAGATGGCTTGAATGAATGTATTCAAAATAAAGAAAAAGGAATCACACAAAATACTCTGTAAAGATGAATAAGGAGAACAACTCAACATCTCCTTTGGCTCATTCTATTCTAAAAGTCTTTCCCCACTTTTACTTAGCAACAGCATGAAAACAGGTAGTCCTTGAATTACAACAGTTCATTTAGTGATCATTCAAAGTTACAACAGCACTGAAAAAAGTGACATGACTATTTTTCACATGACCATTGTAGCATCCCTACAGTCACATGATCAAAATTCAGATGCTTATCAACTGGTTCATATTTATGATGCTTGCATGTGATCCCCTTTTATGACCTTCTGACAAGCAAAGTCAATGCGGAAGTCAGATTCACTTAACAACCATGTTACTAACTTAACAGCTGAATGATTCACTTAACAACTGAGGCAAGGAAGGTTATAAAATGGGGCAAAACTCACTTAACAAATGTCTCACTTAGCAACATAAAGTTTGGGCTCAATTGTGGTCATAAATTGAGGACTACCTGTATATCTGATCACCTCTTTTTTTTTTCTACAATGATCTCATGACAGTGTTTTCTTCTCACTCCAGGTCATATTTGGGTCAGATTAAAGTCATCCCTAGCTGTTTCAAATTGAAATTAGGGCTTTCCCCATTAAGCAATTAACAAGCCACAATTGTTTACCTGTGGATACAGCCTGACATATTTTACTGACCAGTTAGTGCCATGTCAAATGACCCACAGAGGGTGGGATCAACGTAGCACCCATTGGTTGGTGCCAACGTGCCACCTCCCCCCACCCTTCCAGCCCCTGAGTATCCAAGGATATTCTGCTTTGGGCAGCAGAAGATACCAGATCGTTGTAACCAAATAAAAAATAAAAGCAACCTCTAGATGGCAATAAAGAATTTTGATTCTTCCCTCCCCACCCCTCATTTTGAGGGCATTCAGATTTTCCCAGATAAATTTTGGACCTCCAATTATTTAAATGATGATTCTGGAACGCTCTACTGCACTAAATTTTTTGCTTGTCCCCTAGGTTGATAGGTTCAAATGTCTGGCAAAGTGTTCCCTATTCATTTAGCCCCAGACCTGATTCTTACATTCTGAAATAGCAGTTTCTACTCTTTTCCTCAATGTGACTACTCAAATGTCATTGAAAGCTTTTGAGAGCTACCGTTTAAGCCAAGGATTTATAACACTGAATCTGCAGGCACGTGTTACCTCCCCACCCACCCAAATATATTTCTGGATTCTCAAAATCATTTTTTTTTTAAGTGCAGTGGCTAAGACCTTGCAGAATCACCAAATCCCTGGCCTGCAAAATTTGCAAAATGTTGAGTGATAACTTCCGAATACGCAAGATTTTGACACTATTTTTAATGTTATTTTTGCATTGATGCCTGCCATAGGAGCAACCTACAAATGCCCTCGCAAAGCATCCACAGCTTCTGCACCACCAGCTGGGTCAGTTTTTTTTTGTGAACATCATCTTAGCCAGTTTCTTTATTTTGAATTTATCTTTGCAAGCTGCTTTGAAAGTGTTTTAAGGAACAGTTAGAAATCATTTAATATTTTGGGAGCCCAGAATAATTCTGAAAGAAGTTATATGACAAATTGAAAGCACGTTTTCAGGCTACTGTGTAAAAATGCATTCACCAGATTATGAGTTTTCAGCTCATTTATGCCACTCATTTATACTCATCAAGGACATTAGAGACAGAATATTGGTAACACAGCCCTTCTGACTCTGTTTTCTTCATTTGTTGCTACAAATTAGAATTCTGCAAGGCATTAATGTAAAACTAGCTAGCTCAGGAAGAAGCCTAAATTAGATGTATTTCAGTTAGGACTTATTTTTATTTGTGAAACTGTATATTATTTGATCCAAAAGCCATTCCCTGAATTTCTATCATAAGCTTAAATTTTAAGTAGACTGAGGATTCAGGCATAGAAAAGAAATAGGAGGTGTAAGCATAGATAGATCCTGGTGTCCGTATTAGAATTATTCAAACAAGTATTATGAGATTTAAATATAAAAGTATAACCAGGCAAACAGCTTAGGTATTAGTTGTGGCAATGTGTTTTGGCACATATTTTATAGAAGACCAAATGACAGACTCTGGGAACTTAACTTGTAAGAAGCACAAAGGAAGAGAAATAGTTCAAAAGACCTACATATCTGATATGTGTAAACAGCGTCCCACCTGTAAACCTGTAACATCTGACTTACCAATTGGGAGAAATCAAAAATCACGTCTTATATCTCTGCTCTTTAGAGAAAAGAATCCTTTAGCCAAGATCCTTAATAGGATTTATTTGTTAATCATAACTATATTCTAGGGAAAAAATGTAACTTGCCTAAAATGATCCCAAAATGCAGGACCAGGTTATATCCCCAGCTACGGATGCTCGAGCAACAGCTTTTTTTTTTTTTACCATGTCTTTATAATGTCGCCTTCATCTCATCCTGAAACCCTTGAATGATAGCCTTAACTTATTCTCAGCTTATTCTGTGTTAAAGTAAAATTTTCCTCTTCTGATTTCATCCAAAATCAGCCTTAAAGTGGATAATAGTTCCTCACTCATTATACTACTTTGGAAAGAAGTCAAATGACTGAAGTAACTGGGAACAGAAAGCATAGGGTCAGAATTAGGATAGGATAGCAACATTCAAACCAGCATAGTTTTCTGCTGACTCAAGGATAGGTGGATAACATTGTAAAATGTAGAGGTATACTTATTCTCACCTCTAATAATCTAGAATCTCTACGTACAGAAGATATCCAAAATCTAAAAACACAAATTGCCAAAGGGAAGAGTGGCAAGACAAGGCAATTTCCCAGTTATTTTGAGTTTTTGCTCTAAGTGAGAATGTAATAACAATGAAGTATGAAGGGGATTTATTACCTACCTCACCCCTTTGGTCTACTATCAGTTGTATCTTTTCTACTTTTGAAGATGGGGTGGGTGGCTTAGTTGTAATTTCTGCATGAACTTCCTTTAGGTTAGATATAGGTTAGATCAAGAGTGTCAAACTTGCGCCCTGTGGGCTCGATGTGTCACATGCTGGCATGCCAACCCCTGGTTTAGCGAAGGGGGAAAAAGTCATGATATCATCATGTGATGACAACGTGACACCGGGAGTTTGACACCACTGGGTTAGATGTAACCTTGAAGTTATGTGTCAGTATTTATCTCTGGAGACAGGGCAGGTAGAATAAGACAAACTTGGAGTAACACAGTATAAACTGAAGAGCCCCTTTAGGATCAGAAAGTCCAGAGTCTGCAGCAATTTAACTATGTTAATGTTAACAAAGTTCTTGTGTAACAAATAGGAACATTCAGCCTGGAATATTTTTATAAACATATCCTTTTCCAGGCTATTTCAGAACTGGTCTCCTGTGTAATGGAACAAAACCACAACACTGCAGAAGATACCTCTACCAATGGGTTTCCTGTCTCTCCTTGCCAGTCAAATCACTCCGAAAATCCTGCATCTGACAAAGCTGGCACCGCATTACTTTTCTCTGGAATCTTTTTGGGAGTTATAGGAATAACTTTCACTGTGATTGGGTGGGTGAAATATGAAGATGTCATTCACTTTGAATGGACTCGATTGCTTGGACCCACTCTGCTTTTCATGGGCGTGACATTTCTGCTGATAGTTGTGTGCAAATTTGAAATATTCTCCTGCAACTCTTGCAACCAGAATGAAGAAAGCCCATATAATGGGCTTTACACTGGAATTAGGCAGCCCACCATTCTTCATGGGGCTGCAATGGTTCCTTACTTGCCTTCTCCAACCCACGAAAGGGTTGCTACCAATTCAGCCAATTTGCAGCAACTATTGAGCCATTCTGAGCCTGTCTCCACATCAATAATTTCTGTTCTTAATCATCCTCATTCTGATAATGTCACTTCCATGGGCAGCTCAGCTTTTTCAGAAGAGAATTATTCTGCTTATCTTACAGTGGACACCATAAGTGAAAGGTAAGTTATTTGGGAATATTACACTTCAGAGCAAAACTACAATATCCAGATAGAGATATTAAGAAAGTAGAGTTGGTATCATTTCTTGGGTAAAATTCCAGTTACTGCTTTAAGTGAAAGTATTGCCTGGAGCTCTACAGTTTCACAGTTATTGCACTTAAGTAATGCACTGACATGCAGCTTTAATTTTCCATGTGTTGGTGTTTTTCTCAAGTACATTTCTCTCTTATCTTGAAAGAACCTTCTTTTCTGCTAATGTGCACAATAATTTTATCAGAATAAAAGGAGTGGATTACTGGGTATATATTATCACAATCTGACCTTCATGGTTTTCAGACCCAGAGTTTATTTTTGGAGCTTTTGAACATATAAAGTAAGGAGAAGGTTGCATTCTACACACTAACAATTATATCCTCCAATTTTCTTATAATGATATGTTGGACATTTTCATTTTATGGTACAACAGTGTATTTCAATATGATCTGAACCCTATTTAACTGATGTTTGGTCATATATTGAATTTGCTGCAATAACTAAGATACCAGCTGTTAAATAACACATTTTCAAACAAAAGCATAAGGTTAACAATACTGAGACACACTAATCTCTATTGACCTTTCTGCATCATCAAGCTTTTGTACAGTAAGTGCACATTTGTCTCTCGCTTGCATTTTGCAGGAAGAAATGCAGGCACATTTTGGACATGCATATAAAACCCACCCTAAGTACAAATGTCCAAGACCCCCTGCCTGTTCCCATCATTCCATCTGGCAAAATATATTTGTGATATGTTTTTAAATGCCTCTTTTTATTCATATCTCCTTTGTTTCTTTCGCTGGTTGTTGCATCTTATAAAATGCCTCTCTCCCTTGCTCATCCATCCATCACATTTCTAGGTCAACTAACAGTCTTGAGGAACCTGAAGAGATATTGGATGAAGATCTTTGGAATGATTCCTCACCTCCTCCTTATGAGAAGCTATTCCCACCTTTGCCATAAACAGAGCTGCTTAATATCTCCATAAGAACTGTGTCTACTTCGATAAGACCACCAACATAATTTTAATAAGTATAAACCAGATACATGAATTTTACTGACAATTATTTTTGCTGAAAACAGTTGTTCATTCATCAGGCAGCTGAACTAAATGCAAGTGGACATATTCCTTCTAAGTGTGTAACATTTTGCATTTTGATTTTATCTCTAAAATCACCCAGCCTTTCCAGTTCACCTACTCCCCCTGCCCCCTGGGTTCTTGAATAATATGCAAATGGATAGTCAGTTTTTATTTAAACCTGGGCTACGTGTGAAATCCAAATTTTGGGGGAGGAGTGTAAGAGTAGACTGAGGAATGACCAGTGCTTTTCACACCAAGAAGATATCAAGAAGCAGAAATGAGCACATGGGGATACTGTTTCCTATTTCAGGCTTTACCAAGTCAGCAAATGGAGAATCAGAGACAAGATAGTACTCACAAGTTCAATTACTATTGTAGCAATTCTTGAGCCAAATGGAAGGATGGAACAAGAGACAACCCATAAGTTAAATACATTCTTTTAAAAATTGTACCGAAAAATGTACAGCAATCAATGCCAGACTGATATTAGAAAAGCACTGTCTAGCGGCCCAGAACATCAGGAAGTCAGAAAGAAGTTGAAGATTAAGAGCTGAGCAAGCAGGACAAGATGACTGATGAAAATTTGCCCCAGTGGCTGCTGAACAAAGACCATTTTCATGCTTCTGTCTTCAAAACTTACCTTAGCCACTGCTGCTGGATCTCAAGGACTGGCTAATTAGAGGGACTATTAGACATGGGGCGGGGCTTATCACCAAGTAACAATTCTTTCACTTGCTGGCTTCACAAGTCTTGGACATGAGGCCTCCACAGGAACTACAGGTAGGACCAGGCACTGCCAAGTGGGGCTCCAGATAAACTTATCTTGTACGTTTGGGGAGTCCTTAATATACAAATGTAGGACATATATAATAATGACATGTATAATAATTAATATACATTTGTATATTAAACAGTCCCATTCAAGTCAAAAATTGATTTCCCGCACAACTGAAAAACCAGTAGGCCAAGGATGGGGAACCTTTTATGGCTCACTCAGGAATTCTGGGAGTTGAAGTCCATAAGTGATAAAAGAGCCAAGTTTCCCTACCCCTGTTCTTCTGCTTCTATATAGTGAAGTGGAAGAGAGATTAATGCAAGCCAACCGACATGTAGTTCAATTTGTTCTTTATAATGGTTCTTTATTAAACTCTGTGTAGGAAAACACTCAGCAAACTGATTGGAAACTCTTCTTCCTGTGCTTTCTTTCTCTTTTCATTGGCATTCTGGAATATTCCAATATTCAAAATTCTGTCACCAAAATTTTGTAAAAAAACAGCTGAATCCACATTTGCAAATCCATATTTGCAAATAATGACACCTCAGTCCTGGCAAAGTTCTTGTTAGTTCATTTCATTTCTTCCTTCCTGAATTTAAAACCCAATAATCTGCAAACCACCACTGATGTATTGTTGCTCTACAATTGCTATAATTTATATCATTAAAGATCTCAAATCCTCTTTTTCCTCATTTTGCACAGCAGAACCCCCTTAATATTTGGCAGATCCCTGCCTGTGAAAAGAAGCCTGTTTTGCATTAGTCAGTAATACATTGAATCATTCCTGCAAAATGATTTATTATGGATTACAAATTCTTATATGGCATTTTAAGTTAATGATTAGACAAGTAATACATCATTGGTATGATTGGTTGCATATGGCTCTGATTTTAACTTTCTGTATAGTCAGGAGATTACCGCAAAATCTTGTTATTACAGTTCAAAATCTTTTGCTGCCTATAGTCATGCTGGTCCCACAGAAGGAAACTTCTCCCCAAATACACATACTTCACATCCATGGAGTACTTTCATGGGTTCTTCCTCCCCGCCGGCCCCAGAGGATGACAAAAGCTGTAATAAATATATGAATCCAGCATTTCTAAAAGGATCCCATCATGTAAAGCCAGAGAATTTAGAGGAATCTTCATCAACTTAGCGTTCCTCATATGGAGAACACTAAAGAACCTACTGAATGAGAATTTTGGAATTTCAGAATTTTGCAATCCCTTTACAATGGGAGAGCACCAGATTTTTTTGGAGGGGGGGGGTAGAAATGGCTTACAGCCTAGGCAGGAAGGAACCAACTGGTTTTATAATATTTTATTTAGCAACCATTTGCCAGAATGTGGTATGTGGGAAGTTGAAAACACCATGTTAATCTTCTACAGATTTTACCACTTAGTAAAAACTTTGGAAAGTACATCAATGGAAATTTACTTCATTCTATAGGACTAGATCCCTTTCTATGTAGACAAACAACATTCATATATGTTGATAAGGATAAATATTCAATTTTGTCTTTTCTCCTGCACTGTTAATGACTGGGAAGCATGGAGTTGAATTTTGTCATCTTTAAGTCTTAAGTATCTTACATGTTGCCTTAATTATCAATTAAGCAATCTACATCTGGATTGCAGCATATCAAATATCACAAATTCATCCATGCATTGTTGCATTGTTGCTAAGATGACTTGAAGCAATGTGATGTTTTTGAATGTTACTTGTTTGGCAATACTGTAAGCCATACATTAACCAGCCCAAAACAACATCCAGAGAACAAATTGACCACATAATCACTTGAATTTATTCCAAGAATAATGAATGATATATGTTGATGTAAAGTGGAGACAGACCAGTTTTGGACCACTATTTCTAAAATCAGAAGACAGTGGTCAGGAATCATGGCAATTCCCTAAAATATCTTTAGGCACCAGGCTGCCTACCCCTGACATAGAACATGGATTCAGTACATGGAAGAAGAAAAGTCTAAAAGAATAAATATTACTGTAAATATTACATGGTCAGGTTAAGTTATATATGCTTTGAAACCTGGATCCACCTGAACAGCAGCTAATAATGGAGGGAGAGCTGCACAGTGAAGCTGGAGAGAGAACAAGGTGCTTTTCCCCCCTGCTAAACCTGTATTCAAATGATGCCTGCTAACCTACTTTGGTCTGGCATAACTATTTGCATGGGAATCCAACAATGAGCTTCTTTTGGGCAGGGGTTTACTGCACCACTGTTCTCAGGTAGCATTATTCAGTGGTGCTATTCCTGAAGTGTGCTAAATCCCTGTCCATAAGGAGGCCAAGATAGGCCATCCTTTTGAATCCCTACACAAAACATTCTTCCACGAAGAAAAGCCTTCAGGAAGGCCCTCATTCTTCAAATTACAAATTCTTCATCAAGAATTGAGAGAAATAATTCAGCAGCCACTAGGTGGCTGCAAAAGGCAGAGCAGCCTCAGTTAAGGCCCATAGCATCCCTCCCTGCTGCCACTAAGCAATAACAATGCACATTATACTTGTCTCAGCAGCAAGAATTTGCTACTACAGTATATACAACATGAATTTCCTGAGTGATATGGGCATAACGTGCAATGTAGGATATCGTCAAGCATTGCCAGCCATCAGTATATTCAGAAAACAATTATATTTTCTTTCCTCTGTTTATATTTGTGCAACATGTATAATATGCACATGTTTATTCAGAACTAAATTCCATTCAGTTAATAGAATTTACTCATCAATTATAGGCGCAGGAGATTTTAGCTCTAGGGTAGAAAGAAAAAAAGAGCGTGCTATGCTCAATATGAACACATGTTATCTACTGAACTTTTCACCACTATTCTTTGTATTCCTTGTAGGTGATTTCCTGATAATCCAATAACTTTAATCTTAATAACATTGTCTATCTTGGTTAATACTGGAATGACGAATACCAGGAAACTCAAAATTGTAGGCTAAACAGAGATTCCTGAATCACAATGGTAGCAAAGGGTAAGTTTACAAAATGTAAAGTATTGCCAAAAACACATGACTTTGGGAAATCATCGGAATAATGGTTAGCAGGTGAGATTTTGCAAGTTTTAAAAGAAGAACGTTAATTTATTCGATAGGAGTGAACCATAAGCTTCCACCTCCATTCTGGTTCCTGGAAAGACCCTATATCCGATTTCTAGGCGTATCTCCTCAATTTAATTAGCCTCTGACAAATGCAATTTACAGATTGAATTCTTTCCGATAAACAGATTCAGAGTGTCCCATTTGCAAAGAGGTAAGGGGAGAAAGGGGGGTGGGGGAGAGAATGGCTCTGCCCCGTGTATTAATCTGCGATCCAGCTGGCTTCACCTCCCACTCCCCAAATCGGATGTGGCTCTCCTAATGAAGCTCGCATGCCATTGTATACATTAAGCTGCAGAGTGTAATTTCGTTTTTGATGAATCCACGGTCCCCATCTGATCTGCATTTGTCTACAAAGAAACCGGAACCCCGCATAAGCATGTGTGCGCGTGCGTTGTTCCTTCCCGCCGCCCTCCTCCTCCTCCTCGTTCTTCGGATCGCCGTTTCGCAGGCAATTCAGTGGCCGAAACTAGCGGCACTGGCCGCCTCTCTCAGGCAGAGGTGCGGGGCGTGGGGGGAGGCCCTCCCTGCCCAGTGCCTTTCCACCTGGCGGGACCTGCCCGATCACTTTGCCACAGGGGCCCGTCTTGGGGCCCGGGGAGCGAAGGGTCGCTGGTGGGCGTGGGAGGGACACCTCGTTTGCTTGCCCTGCCCCGGCCACCTTGGCCGATCAAGCCAGAGCGAAGTCGCCGCTGCTTTAATCCTCCTTCGGTTATTTGCAGCGGCGCTTCCTTAAAAACCGCTGAAACCTAGGAGAAGTTGGGTAGTTTTGTGCAATGCTGGAGAGACGCCGCGCTTGTGCGATTCCGGCATAAGACTGGACAGCTCCGGAAATCTGACAGGACATAGGATAAGACAAAGTTCGGCGAAAACATGGAACTCCTTAAGTTGAATCACGAGCCTCACCTTCAGATGCTTTCAGGGATAATTACCACAGGAAAAGTGTGTTTAGTATCCCAGCATGGTGTATTAAGATTGCAGAAAT